CCTGAACACGCAGGAAGTCTAGTATGCAGTGCACAATACAGATGTTATCTAATAATAACCGTTGCTTTGATGTAGCCAAGAGCGGTGGGAACTCGTTGGCACACTCTTGCAGAATCAGTATGTGCAAACCACGTTCATATCACACTCTTTGTGTGTGTGTGTGTGTGTGTGTGTGTATTGTGGAGATCAAACTAATGAGAACCTTTGGGACTCATGTTCTTGAGAGAGAACGAGAGCGTCCCATCCTTTGTACTCCCACTCAATGACACAGACTGACTCATTAATAAACTCCTACCTGATACAAGCACGGTTTAAGGATGCTTACTATGTGTGAATGGCTTCTGCAAAAGTGTGTATGTGTGTTAGGGAGAAATAGTAGGCATGGTGTGTGTATATTAAGATGCATGGAGGGGTGAGTGTGCGTGTGTGTGACATAATGGGTCCCACTAATGGGGCTTATTATATAGATGAGATATCTTGGGAAATTAGTCTTTTAGTGCCCCTCATTAATACCCAACGTATAGTAATCACACTGCTCTTTTCTTTCTGTGCCCCTTCGCTCTTTCTTATTCTTTCTTTCTAAGCTCTGCTCGGTTTCACTTTTCAGAGTACATCAAGATACGCACACACAGAAATGTCACCTGCGGCACACACAACATAAAGGTAAATTGCAGGCATTTATGCAAAGAGTCAAGGATGTGTTTGAAATGAAACATCAACAAATAATGATAAATAATTGCAGCTTTTATCTGAATCTCTGAAAGATTTTGTGACTCATTGCGCTGAATGAAACCTCAGGAGCAGGAACGAAAAAGAGCTATTTACAGTATTTTATTTTGTTCATAATGTGACATACAATTATGCTCATAGATTGAGAGAACATGTTTTTTTTTTTTTTTGGCAAAAATAATTTGAAATGTGGACCCCAGTACACCTTTCTCAGATTTATCATGTTTAAAAAAAAAAAAAATCTGTTTTCTATGTGAGGGCTGCTTGAAGAATTCAGCATTGTTTTTGCCTTTTCCCTTTTTTATTATAATTTTTTTTTTCTTCTTTTCTGGATTCCTTTCTCTCTGGAAAGTGTGAATCTTTTTGTAATAGTATGGACTGTAGATGGTGAAATCTACACTTCTTGATTTTGCAAAAAGATTACATTTAAATGATATGTTTTTGAGGAATGTTGTTTTCAAAATATTGGCAGATCTGATCACCCGTTTTCAAGTATCTGTCACTACTATGTACTGTATAAATAGTATCTACAGTAATCTGTTGACAGGTAGTACAAAGAAAATACTGCTATTTAATTTAGTGTAAATAGCATCTATCTATATAATGCTATTGCACTTAGTGCAAATATCATTTAGAGTGGGATTATATATCCAGACAGGTTTGGTGACTTTATATGTTTATACAGTATTTATAGTATGTTAATATCTGTTAAGTCAAATAACTTTCTCAGGGCTTTAAAATATAACAAAATGCAATTTTATGATACAAATTAGTTACTGCAATACTGCAAGGGGCATGTAAACATATGAGCAGATATGTATGTAATGGGATATTGTGTAGTCTAATAGGATGTTCACTAAGAAAAAAATAGGGTGGGACTGTTTTTCCATTAATAGGAATAGATTGGATTGTCAAAAATGTATTATTATTGTCTTCTCTCTTCTGTTTTGCACAGATGCGTGTGTGTATGTTTATGTGCGTACACACAAGGCTCCTGCCTCTTAACTCGAGTGTACTGAAGCACTTTTAATCTGAGTCTACCTGGTAGCTAAACCCAGCAGGGCTTAGGTGGGTTTTAAAATACCACTGCCAGAATCTCCTCACAACATTTACACAACATTTTCCAAACAGATGGGTGCTTGGCAGTGGCATAGCTCTGCAGCCAACCCTACCCGCAGGCACAGATGATGCCCACACATCTGGACACACTTGTTGTCCTGCACTCAGGAAGCAGTCATTTGCACGGCAAGCTGCTCCGACAACAAAGCTGCAAACACACGCGCCCGCCACACACCAGACAATGCCTTGGGGCAGTTCTACTTCTGTTCAATTTTCCCCAGAAATATAAGTGAAGGTTTTTTCAATCTGGGTTTAGAATCTCTTGGAAGTGCAGAAGTGAGGTCTGTAATCTGCAGTGGGTCGCACTTTTAGCCAAAGAGTGTTTTATTCCAGGCATAATTTGTATTCCGATCTAAATCTGACACGCCACAGCCACAGATCAGAGCGGAACGCTTCTGGTGTTTGGGCAAGGGGTGGAGGGGGGAATGAAAGATGAGAGGGAAGAGAGGAAAAAAAGTTACTGTTTTGTTAACTGAAGCGCTTTGAGTTAGCGGCGTGCTGTAGATGCTCTGCATCACACACAGCTATTTTAAGCATATGAAATACAAGGTCATACCCCTTCAAAATGGCAATATGTGCATGTCAGTATGATGGAGGGATCCCACGAGGAGTTATCTGAATGGCACCTGCAACATTGTTATTATTGGATCAAGCTTTTAGATAGTCCAGGCTGACAATCTCTGTTCCACTCTGAGTACCTGCTAAACCCAGCTGCCTGGTATAATTTTGTGTGTGCGAGCATGTTTTTATGTGTGGGAGATAAGCTGTTTTTGACCTGTGTGAAGCGCTGGCATTGACCTGACACTTAATCCATCCAAATTAATGGACTCTTCATACTTTTTTCATTCACTGTTACATGCACTTACTCTCCAAACATCCACACATGTATTTGATACCACTCTGACACACTGGGCTGGAAACACACACGCTCACACATGTTCAAAACCTAGTTTTTCAATGGCTGCTGCCAATATTTAGAAAGCACACGCTCAATAGTTGATTTATTGCTGATGTATATACTGCAATTATTTACATGTACTGTTCAATAGTTTGGGGTTGTTAAGGTTTTTTTTTATGTTTTTGAAAGACGTCTCTTATGCTTACCAAGGTGGCATTTATTTGATAAAAATACAGTAAAAACAGTAATACCGTAAACTGTTTATCATAACTGCTTTGTGTTTTATTTTAAAATACAATTTATATTTATATACAATTGCAAAACTAAATTTTCAGCAGCCTTTACTCCAGTCTTCAGTATCACATGATCTTAGGGCTGAGCGATATAGCTAAAAAAATGACGATATAATATTATATAATGATATAATATCAACGATATAATGTTTCATATCGTTCGGTATAGATAATTATTGACATTTTTTATAACCTTTTTTAAAACAAAGAGCAACAGAAATGTTTTTTTTTTTAATTTAACCATGGTATTTTTAAATTAACCCAATTTATTGGGACAAACAACAAATATTTTTTTGTTTTAACAGTCAAACACACAATAAAAATTAAACAAATATCTAATTTCTAATGCTTTATTTGCAGATTAAGGTTTTAAGGAAACTTTTGGCTTGCCTCCCGAGGCCACAGGAGGGTGCAATGAGCAAAATAATGCAGCACATTTAAATTGTCAACGCAAGGAAATAAATGTCTATAAAAAACCTACATTACGTCTAAATTAACTCCTATAAATCAAATATAATTTCGTAAATTGCATAAACAATTATGAACAAAACAGCATCATGTATTTCATGCATTGCTTAATACAAAGAGCCAAATCGCCCATCACGCTGATTGCGTTTAAAAACATAAGAGACGCAGTGAAAAGGAATAAACCTCCACAAATTCGCGACGTGTTTTCTAAAAGTTTAAACTATTTTAACTTTTCATGGCTACATCTCTTGTGTGAGACGCGACTGCAGCAGTCATATTTGTCCGTCAAAATGCGCTGAATATGCGTTCTGTGTGAATGTCTTGGTTTCGGTTTTCACCTAATCAAGATCTTCTCCGCATTTGAGATTCTATATTTCTCTAATATTTTGAATGCATAACACAGCAGCGGCGCATCTCGTGGGCTAGACTAACAAAACATTAAAATGCAACAACGTCACTCACATCATTATCACCGCATCTCGTGAGCCACTGATGACGCTCCCTGACGCTCTCCTAACATTCAAATGCAAATGTTTATTTTAAATTCGACTGATATTCATTTTTTATTCACAATCTCCTCATCACAGGCAGGCACAGCACTCAATTCAGCATGTTTTCGTTTTTGTGTGTGCTGTCTGCGTCACTCATAGCACGTGCCTATATTGCGCACTATATCAAACATTTTTAATTCTTTAATTTTAATTTCTAATCAGATGATTTGCTGATCAAGAAACATGTCCTATTATTATCAGTGTTGAAAACAATGTTGTGCTTCTTAATATTTTCGTGGAAATTGTGTTACTTTTTACTCTTTTTAGGATTTTTGATGAACAGTTCAAAGAATGCATTTTTTAAATGTAATGTTAGTTTGTAACATGGCAAATGTCTTTACTGTCACTTTTGATCAATTTAATGTGGCATTTCTGAACAAAATAATTAATTTCTTTAAAAAAAAAAAAAAATTAAATTAAGTGACCACAATCCTTGAATGGTAGCATTTTTGTGTGTGTATATATAACATTATCCTGTTCTATACCTTTCTTTGGTCTTTAATGTTCTTTAAGTGAACTTACAAATCTGTAAATTTGTCAAGTAGAAGTTCCGTTTTAAAAGTACCAAAGTAATATAGTACAATTTAATTATAGCACACGATGTGCACAAAATTGTTCCTATTTGAAAACACAAAATATGTATCATCCATTGCTCTATCTGTAGATTTTGGAATAAAGCAAGGAAGAACTAACACTTCTGTTAATTTACAAAGAAGACAAAATACTTTGTCAATTCATCTCCTTGGTATTATATATAGGCTAAAATCTATTGCAAATTAAAATGCACAGTGCACCTGAAATTCTTCACTGATGTCTTTTTATGATTATGACAGAAAGGTCTTGATATGCTTCCGTTTATTTTAAATGTTGTCAGTGTGATTCTGAACTCTTATAATGTATTTATTCATCTTAATCTGTTACCTTCTTTCTTGCCCCTCTCAGGCATTTTAGAGACAAAGAGGCTGGACATTGTCCACACACGAGGTCCCATCCCACAGTCTCTCGGTGGAGTTACCTACTATGCAGCCGATCTACCCATATGGTGGCAAGTGCCTCAGTACATCCTCATTGGTGTCAGCGAAATCTTTGCTAGTATTGCAGGTAGGTGGTCCTTTGCAAACACTGCTGAACACACACAAAACTCTCAATTTCACAAACAGCTTATGAAGTGACCCATGTTCTGAATTTTTTTTTAGCTTTTTTTGTAATTAATACGTTTGTAAGGTTTCTTGCATCAGAAATATCGCACTAAATTTATTGGATGAAATGTTTGCTTCTGTACCTTTTAGACTGCTATATGTGAATGACCACTGTTATGATTAACTAGCCTCTTCACATTTGATCCCGAAGTCTGAATACGATTAGGTGTTGATATGTAAACATGGACAGTCAAACCTTAATGTGCTTTTGCAGTAGCATGTCAACATAATTCACTGCTGTATTAAAATTGATGTTCTCCAGGCAATGGCCTTTTTAACATTTAGTGGTTCCTGAGGTGATACTGAGCCTGGAAAGACATTTGAGAGGAGATGATCATGATAAGAAACACCTACAGCACATTTGTGCTGATATTTTGATGGTAGAATTTAGTTTCACATCAACTAAGATGCATGGAATGAATAACTCGTCTAGATGAGTAAACATACAGCATTGCCTTAAAATGAGTGTGTCTTTTGTGTCCCTCCAGTTTTCGGTCTCCTCTGTGTACTGTAGAGTTTTTTCCATAGGATCATTCATCTGTCCTAATGGCCATGCTAATCAATGTGTGTCCTTTTAAAAACTGCAGTAAACTCCTCTCTGCCTTGCCTTGGTGTAGCAGCTCTTGTCTGAGCCGTTGCTGAAATTGCTTGCTAAGGAATCCATGGCTGTATCAATCAGGACCGATCGATCTGGGCTTGGCGATACATTATTGCAGTTAAGATGACCAGGGAAAACATCTCTGTCCTGCTGGAATACACTAAGAAAATATCAAGAAAGTCTCAAGCAAGTGGGCTTGAGATTAATGAGAAAATAGATGAAAGGAAACTAAATCAATTCGTGTATCATTCGATCATTCGTTTTTTTATTTAATATTGAAAGTAGAAAAATTAGAAAACGGCTCCCTTGTTTCTCACCAAACCTTCAGTATACCTTCAGAAGTGCACAGGAAATAAGCAGCAGTCATATTTAAAGCAGTTTAAATTAATATTGAGTACTGATTGATGTTCACTTGGATTTTTTCCCCATCGAGGGGAAATAACTTAAATACTCTGTCATTTATAGTCCTATGGTAAAATGTGTATTTTTAATTGTGTAACATTACGTTCAAAATAACTACAAAATGTCATGCCTTTGAAAAAATAAAGAGAACAACAGAATGCGCTGCTTTAGCGCGTCTCAGTCTCATTGAGCATCTTTCTGGCACATGCCACAAACATGAACCACACAGCAAATACTCGTCTTTTAAAAGGCTTCATTTAGATTCTTTTACATTAAATGCATCATATAAGTCACTTTGGAATAAATCACAGTAGGCCTATGTATCATGATAAAAAAAGCGACTTTACAGTCTGGAAATACTTTTAGGCTATAGCAGATTATTTCTTGGACCCCCTATCAATTTAAGAACCGCTGGTCTACACAGAAGAAAGACCTGACCAATTAGCAGAAAGGGGCATTTAATTCCCGCCCACGTGTAGAAATCGAATATTCAAGCTGTTTATTCATTTTGCCACCCATGAACGAAAAACGTAAATTTAAGCTGAATTCTCGTTTTTCGTTTTTTGGAAAAAAACGAAAAAGGAGCCGTTTTCTCATTTGTCTATTTTCAATATTAAATCAAAAAATGAATGATAGAATGATACACGGATTTAAGTCCCCTAACAGCGTTTGTTAGAACAATTGTGTGGACCTCCTATTACTACCTTCACTGCTGAGATCTACAGTAATTACAGCAATTTCTGTCATGATAAGAATCTTAAATTTCATTCTGATTCCACTTAATACATCTAGTTTCTGGTATTTTTGATAAATGGCCACATAATTGCTAATAGCTATATTATTATATATAGTTCATTAGTTTTGCTTCACTCTTTTTCAGTGAGTGAGTCAGATGTTCATTCTGTAATATTCAGTGAGTGGCTGAGTGATCTGTTTAAGGCTGATGAGTTTAAGATTCATCAGTTCAGAAGAGTCCTCAGTTAGCGAACCAAGCTACACTGGTCGCACTGAATGTTTGCTGTTGTTAAAATGATTTGATTCCAGTGTTTTTTTAATTAAACCGATTCTGAGTAAGGTTATCGAATCCCAGCTCCGTTTCCTTATGCTGGTCATTTTCTGGAGGTTTACTGGTTGCAGTTATGCATGGCACTTGTATTATTTGTGTTTGCTGTATCAGCTCTATATTTACCGCTGGTTATGTGCGCACCTGTCTGTTGTCCATACAAATTTTCACACAGGTTAGCAATGTTCTTTTCTCCCTAAACACACAGCTGTGTTCATTTCGACCCTTCAGCTTCTCTTCCAAGGTCAGGTTCAAATATGCTTGTTTTCCTCTTAGACACACACCACACTGGTAATTTCACACCCATTTCACGCACAGAGCAAATCAAAGGCTGCTCGTCCCCCCCTTATCCTTTATGAACCAACAAGACTAATAAGTAGCATTTGGCAAAGGCAGGGAAGAACACTCTCCCTTCATGCTGAATTGTAGAGAACACTTTACTGATTACTGGATTTCTTCTCTACCCCCTTAGAAGACGTGTTTCAAATCAGATCGTCACCCATGGTTTATGCTGCTTCAAATAACGGGATGTTTTTTTTAGTCTGGATGATCTTGCAAGGACTTTCAATGTCTTTGATAGACAACTATGAGAGAGGAGGTTATCTGTAAGGCTACACTCACCGCAATCTTTTTCAGTCCTGTTTTTTATGATCTGTTAATTTGTTAATTTAGTCTTTTAAATATCAGATAATGTAACCTTTTTATGACTAGATAAGGTTAATTCCTATTGTATAATGTCATGTTGTGCAACTCCCCAAAACAGATATTTCTGAATTAATAATACATTTTTGTTAATTCAGAAATCAATGAATAATTCATAGACATAGTATTTGTCAGGGCTTAAAGTTCTCCGTCACCGTGCCGGATCTCCGGCGTGCAGTGTTTGGCTGCGGAAAAAATAATCCTACATTTAAAAATAACTTGTTGATATCACTTTCGAGTCCATGAGTTTGCCTACCAATGGTATGAGAGGAGCACAGCTTTCACTCTCAACCAAACTAACATTACTAGCCAATCAGAATTTTTCTCTTATAACTTTTATAAACACGAGAAGCGCATAATATCCAACTGCAGAGTCGCAGCCCTGATGAATGGAGAAGGGCGACACGTTGAAAAAGCTGCGAGGCGCAATGGTCAAAGATGTCCATCTAGCGCATTTACATAGAAAAACTAATTAAAAAACAGCGGAGCTTTGTAAACAGCTCAGAGTAATCATGTCATCTCCATAAGAATGATATGATTGCCAGAACAAATTTACCGGGATTTTTGAAAAGGTACTGTTCACACATGATCTCTTAATGGTAGCTTACCGGTAATTTACCAGTAAAGACTCTATGTGTGAAAGGGGCTAAACTCTTCCTCTGTATATGCTGTGAATTTGAATTGTTTAACGTTCATCTGGGAAAACGGCATTTTCTCAATATATTTGTAACGTAAATCATTTATAAACCTTTGCCAACACAGGAGAATACATCATATTTAAATATGCCATTTATTGTACATCGCAATTTCAAAATAAAAGTTTCTGAGTTTGCATGTGGCCAAATATTACAATTGAATGGATTTAAACATCGTTTAATCACGCTGTAAAGTGAAACGTCACCACTCACCAGGCCGCTGGCGCCCTCTGCAGGTATTTGTTATAATACATAATGTACTTAAAGGCACAATATATAATTTTCGGCGCTGGAGGGCGCGTATTCAAAATAAACAAAGAGACAAAGGCGTAGTTTGATGATGCTGTGACTGAGTGTGAAATCATGGGAGTTCGGCAGGCGACACAGTGACACTATGGACATGGTCCGTGTCACTAGTTAAAATTGCTTATTTTTCTGGATTTAAACATTCTTCGAAACATTTGGGATAATGTAAGTACACAAGTCAGCAAAATATATAACACTGTTCTAGTGTTTTTTTTTTTTTTTTTATTTAAAAAAATCTTACATATTGTTCATATTATGTATAGGCATATTACATTATGTATTTTAACAGGGTTGTTCAATAAAACCATGTAATTACTTGGTTTTGATACTTTATTTGAGCCAATTATTATTGCATCATCATTAGTTTATATATAAATAGTCATACTAAAGCCTGGTTTTCAATTAGGTCTGTATGTGTTACTAAAAAATATCAAATTACTCAGTTGTCAAAATAATCAGTAGATTACTTGATTACCAAAATAATCATTAGTTACAGCCCTAGATTAGTTAAAATATTTCAAAATACAACTGCATTGTTTTACTTTTTATAATAAAAAAAGTTGAAAATTTCTTAAAAATAGTATTAAAATATTGTCTTGTTCTAGTGAACCAAGTATCTGTATTTTGTCTCATCTCGTGAGCTAAGTGTGTTGTCACACCCCCTAGTGTCGATAAGCATTGATATAGCTCATAATTTTCCAAGTGTATGATATAGCTTTCATTCTTCAGGTCAACCATATATTCATGATAAAAAACCTGAATAAGGAAAGCAATAACTTTGCCATAGTATCCTTTCAAATGTTAAAGTTGCCACAGTCATTGCATGCTTTGCATGTGTTGCCCCATCTCCGCCCCGCCCCCGGAAAAATATCAGGCCCAGGATTTTTTTTTGCTTTAACCCCTAATTTGTAAAATATACTTTTTGTCTTGAGAAAAAAAAATCTAAAATGCTCTTGAAAATGCTGGGAACTCAGAAATTAGTTTAGGTTTCAAATGCAGCAGGGTTCACATGGGTTATTAAAAAGACTTTGAAGTCTGAAATTTGAATCTACTAATTTAAAGGGTTAAAATGTCTTAAATATGCATTTTTTTCCTGGTTGGCATGACATTTTCTTAGAGGTCTTAAATCTGAAAAA